CCGGGTGTGTGTGTGTGTGGGGGGGGGGGGTGTATGTATGCATGTATGTGTATATCCGAATTATGTTTGCCCATCGCAATAATAGTAGTTTGATTTATGCACATGAACTCATGCGTTTTCTCGGCGAGATCTAGAGCAGAATGTTAGAGATTGATTAATCGATTGATCGATTAATCGATCGATCGATTGATTATTATTACTATTATTATTATTATTATTATTGTTATTGTTATTATTATTATTATTATTATTATTATTATTATTATTATTATCATTATTATTATTAAAACATAGAATGATAAATATTTTAAAATACGAAAACCGACAAAGCATAACCACTTACGCAACACACAGCAACTAATAAGGGTTATAATACTGATAATTATAGAGGGAAATCCTTTCAGCATATCCTAGAAGGTTGGCTTATATTTAGGGGCCCTCTTAAGCAAATGAAACAATGTGATGCTTTTATCAGCATCTGCAAAGTCTCTTTATGAGGCTTAGGGAGTGGAGTTATTTTTAGTAGTGAGAAAATGTCCTGCTGTCACAGAAATTTAACCCACGACCCCGGGATTAAAAGGCAATCACCTTAACCACTAAGCTACGGTACTCAACTCCACTCCTTGATCGATATTCTGTATACTGATAATGGTTTTTATTTTTAAAACTTACCTGTTTATCCATGTTCTACCAAGATCAAAGAAATCTTTTCCGGTCGCTGCCTTCATCTGTTGGGTCCACACACGACCGCCCAGACGTTCTATGTACAAAACATTGATATACACATTTTCAATATAGCTTTAAATATTTTAAGTTAGCAAAAATTCTCAAAGAACTATTTTGTAAAGCGTATTGAATAGTATCTAACCAGATGTTTCAATTATCTTTAATATTAGAATGTAATAATGTATATAGTGGTGATAATTGTTGCATCTGCTACCTGCAGGATTAGTACTTGTGTAAATTAATTTGCTAACGACGTATTCTTATAGAATTTATACTCGTGGGAACTTTCCGAATGATAATTTAGCTCCTATACGGCTATGACGTATTACTCTATAAAGACACATTTTCAGTCATTGGTTTCAATACTGAATTTCAGTTTCTGAACCAATGTCACTGAGAGCTAGGCCTACTGCTCAGCTGATTAAACTGGTTGCCTTTTGGTCTCTGGTAGCTCACTTCAACACAATGATGCTGCGAGTTATGGGCTATACTGCCTTACATTCACCTTTATTTTGTGTCCTGCAGAAGGACTGGACTATTCCGTAGTCCTACTAATGCTCAATATCTTTCGGAAGAAATAGTCTGCCGTTGGCAGTTTCTAATGTGTATCATTGCTTTTGATTAAACAACGCTCTATATTTCTGAAGAAAGATTAGAGAATTGTCTCCCATGTACAAATAGATTCACCAGTCATCTTCCGAAGAAAGCTTGTGTACTGCCACACAGTATTAATAATTGAAACTTCACATACCTTTTGCTTCTAGTACAACGACTGACAAATTACTGTTGTGCTTGGTGAGATGATAAGCTGCTGTTAAGCCAGAGAGTCCGCCTCCTACGACCAACACATCGACTTTCTCTGGGGCCCCAGGCGGTGCAACTGGTGGTGGAGGGGGTGGCTTCGGTACAAACGGTTTCTTTGGTGCCACCGGCGTTGTGGAAGCCGATGTAGACGCCTCACTTGTATTGCCGTCCTCTTCATCAGACGCTGAATTACTGAATTTTTTCTGTTGTGTATTTTTTTTAAAGAAAATTAGGAAAAATTAAGTGAATTAGAAGAAGACATAAAGTAACTAAATTATCAGATAACTGCTTTCATGAGATATGTACACTAATAATGTCGATAGTCTCAGAAACAATGAAATGAAAACATTTACAATGTGGAGCTCTATGTCTTCTATGGGTAGTAGGGAGGGTACTATGATTGAGCATGATATATGCAAACTGTATTCACGAGGTACGATAGTTTTATAGGAATCCAGGTCCGTATAAATGATCAGGAATGACTCATAACCCTGACAGCTATATCACTACATAGGCCTAATAACGAAATGTTTAATGTGACTTAAATAAATTTATCCAACTTTGGTCTGGAACTGGAAAAATATTATTTTAGACGAAAACATAGATTAGGCCTATATGCATAATGCGGGGTGGGTAAGATATTTTGTTTTCCAAATGCATGTCGCATGCTGATACATAAACAATAAACGAAAGAATCACAAGGTATTGCCAAATAATAACACGCAAACACACGATGCATATTACGTACAAGGTATCGAACCTCTTGTTTGTGTTGACGTGTTCGTTTTTCATGTTCCACCTAATAACAGTAGAGTTTACGACGTTTTATGATACAATAAAATTATTGAACATGGTCATGTTTCTATGGTACTCCAAATGGTTTCAAACTCGATTACCTAATTTGTATTCTTAAATTTAATATGATGTTAATAATGACATTTTTATATTTGTTTACACTATTTTGTAATTGATTGGTTTTATGTAAATATTTTTATATAAATAAGAGAGGAAAATAGGTAGGTCTAATCGGACTCGAATTCCTAACAAATCCCGATCCAATTGGCTAAGGTTGGGACAACTTTTTTCGCAATCGCAGATTCTTCTTATTTACCGTTCAAAAATTATATTATAATTATAGCATTACCACAAGACGGCTTAGAGTTTATCTCTATTATATCACAATTTACATAATATGTATATATGTGTGTGTATGCATATTGGAATAATAGAAATTAAAAAGGAACAAAATTAAAATGTTTGTTGTAACACGCAATGTACACGGGGTTGGCGACCAATTAGGTGTCTAAACCTGTTTAATCGTAGCTTCAATTAATTGTAAATAAACTAAGTACTGTAGTAAGATAGCAAAATAAATTATCAATTTGTCCACTACACTCGATTTTGCTGGGACCAGCAAAAATGCTTTAACACATTATCTTGGCCTACTTAAGGGTAGGACAACGCTTTCATAATATTAAGATTGTAATATATTTCTTTAAGTAATAACATGGTGTTAACATGGTTAAATGACATTTAACTTATTTGGATGCACGCATAATACTATAAAACATGGCAAGTACAGAACGTATTAATATGAATATAGTAGGCCTATATATTCAGTGATATCAATACGTGAACCTGCTCCTATTTTGAAACTATTGGAAATAAGTAATTGTACGCGTACTTGCTACATGCCAAACAACAGTAAAGTTCGCATTAATACGAATGCATCTCATCAGCACTGTACCTGAACTCTTCAAGTTTGCATAATCAAACATAATGAAATTGCAGTATAATAAAAACACTTAAATGCATCTCAAATCTCACTGTAATTCAGAATACATTTCATAACCTTAACAACGAATGTGCATACAGAGTATGGGCCAGCTTATCGCACTTAGTAGGGGCTAACAATACATCTCACACATCAGCTCTTTATATTTCATTTTATTTATTCGAATAAATGGAATTATTCTAGCCTGGTTAATAAACTCCTTCCTCGAATAAACGCCTCCCTCGAATAAGCTCTTCTCAACAATAAACACGCATGCGTTTATTCAAATAAATACGGTATATCCTAGGTGGTAAGTAGAAGAAAATGAAACGAAATAGAAACACTTCACTCCCCAGTGAACGTCTATTGCAGTTTAAACCCGACACGATAATACAATATTCTTATAAACCGGCACATTTAATAATATCATATACATAATTATTGTCTAACTATCTAGCTTTGGTACTTTTTAAAAATCGTAAATATGTGCATTAATATTGACAATCAGTAGTTTAAATCTCACATGCTATTATAGGTTAGATTACAGACACATTACATTTTAGTCTCATACATCAAACATCCTACAGCGTCTACTACTACAGTTTAAACCTCTAAGGCCAAATACTGCTCAGCTCAACTGCTTTTATTAACCGGTACACTTCAATTCCAAACCTCAATAGGGCTTAAATTTCACACCCTATTACAGTTAATGAATCTAATAAATTAGGCCTCTTATATTTTGGTCTCAGTCACCAACGGAGCTAAAAATTAATGACCATATTTATTTTCTACGTAGTACATCTTATTTTTTAATATTTATCAGCTTAAATCATTGATTTATTTAGTACTTGTAACTCGGATATATCTGCCATTCTCATGACCTTCCTCAGCGAGATTGCAGGGGAAAAAACTAACATATGAAGCTATCTTTATATTCAAAGAAACGTTAGGTGATATAATTGTAAACCTAAAACTTTTTGTTTAAAACAATAAACAAGTTATTGTTTAATATTAATCTTTTTTATTATTATTAAGGGCTATACCCAAAAATGGGTAAGAGAACATCCCCGACTCGCCTTACTCGGACCATAATTCCACCCTCTTGAGCACATGTTTATAAATGCCACTCCTCCAGCGTGAAATAATGTTGGATTCGTTACAATGTGATCTTAAGGGAAAAAATACGCACACACTTAATCAATGGTATCTGTAAAGGGAAATTATTATTCTCAGTACCGTATTAAACGAAACATGACAAACTGTGCTTAATTCATTTTGATGTTTTGAAAATTGTGCGTTATTGTAGATTCATCAACCTCACAGTCATACAAAGTGACATGTGTGTGATGATCGTAAACTGTATGCTATTACTGTCTTCTGTATTCAAAGGCAATTAGAACCATGCATAGCCGAAACTAAAATCCTATTTTACTTTGTTGGCAGAGTTTAAGAGATTTGTATCTCGATCGAATGAAACTGGGAAGTTTCGTGTTAAAAAGAAAAATTGATGCGAATTGGCACTACATACTGTTAATTATACAGTTTTATGTCGACTAAATGTCTCCAACTTATCCCTCACGTATACATTATCTTTCCAATCTAACATTAATGTGCTAACTAACATCACTGCGTGTTATAAAGCGATGTATAAGCTTATAGTACTGTACTGTAGTGTACATGGAGAAGAAGGTCCACATTTTGGTACGATAAATAAAAAATAAAATTAGATCATTCCCGTTCCAAAATTCAAAACCTAATGTCATAATTTATCACCACGTTTCTTTTAAAGCACATTATTTTGTTTTAGACGAAATGATTGGTAGACAGATAAATTATTCTTATAGTTCGGTATTTAAAAAAAAATGTATTTTGTCATGGTCACAAAATATACAATATCGTTAAACCTTTTCAAAAACAGTGTTTTCACACCAGAGCATATTTTGAAATATTCTACAAGAATTGTATGATATAAAATAAATATGAGGAAATCAATTAATACAATACTGTAATAATTATGTCTTAATAGTAGTGACCTCAAACACATTTGAAGTCTAAGCTATCCGAAAAAAGTCTAAACCGACTCAATACTTCATATAGGCCTATCTATATCATTTACTTAAGATTCTACGTTGTCATTCTATTCTCCTGATACCTATGGCAGGAAGTCCTCCATCAGGGAGAGTCCCCCCCCCCCCCCACACCCTCTCCGTCATGGAGAAAAGCACAATTCATTTAACAAATAGGCCTGTATTCCCATTTAACACTCCATTATTAACACTGTGTTGTAAAAAGGCTCTCTATCGTGGGAGACAGGTTTCCACCCAGCTAACTGTTGTTACCTTGATGCGAAGCAGTCGGTGTTATATATCTTTAGCTACTTTCAAATAGATTGCGAACCCTTTTTTTCAGTTAGCCATTAGGGCGACTAAATGGATATGAATGAGTTGTTTCTGAGTAGTTATTTATAACATTTTATAGCCTGTCTTTAATTTATATTATTGCATCACTGGAACCAAGAATATTTCTATGTAGTGATATACCACATGCATACTGGACAGACTAAAGGGTATCGGAATAGTATCACAATTGGAATTTAGGAATAATAGGCCTATAAATAGTAGTAACAATAATAATTCTCATTATCATTAATAACAGACATGATACTATTAATGATAATAATAATAATGATAATATTGATAATACAAATTAGTGTCCTATTATTTGTATCATTAATATTCTCATTATTATTGTCAATAATATAGTTGTATTTACATCAACAAGATACAGGACAGGATTTTAAGATTAATAAAATCCATTCCTCACATCACGTGGTTTCTTCGGGTTAAATGTGACAAATCGCTACGTTGTAGTGAAAAGCTTGTTGATTAAAATATACTCTTCTTGCTGTTCGTGAAATATTTTGTAATTTGTGTTAGAGATTAATACGGCAATTAGTTGAAATTTTGTCCCACATCATACAGTACCAGACCTATATTATTTTTATGAAGTCTCTTATCAAACCTACGATGGATGTGCAAATATCATTCACTTGTATATTGAACTAAAAACAATAGAACGTAGATCCAATACTTTATTTTTAGGAGTTACTATAAATGAGCATTTAAGCTGGAAACCCCATTTAAATTCTGTTTTCAACTTAAAATCTCAAAAGCTGCTGGAATCTTAAATAACTTTAAGTTGTTTTCCCCTCGTGATATCTTACTTATTATTGTATAATTCTATTATTTTTTTCTCATATACTATATAATATTATTTGGGGCTCTTATCTAAATAATATCAAAGATACATATAAGATTTAAAAAATGATTGTAAGAGTAATAACAAAGTCTCATTATTCATCTTCATCTGGACATTAAATATCTTCGACTTAATAAATATCTTAATCTGTCTCTCATGCATAAATATTTGGATAACAAATCGTCCCCTTTAATCAGTAATATTTTATCATGTATTAATCAATCATGTAGATATCATACACAGAATATTATTATTCCATTCTCAAGACTTACTAAAACTATTTTTTTTTTAGCCGTCAAGGTCCTATTTAATGGAATACTCTTCCTATAAATATAACAGAAATATAAAATACAGTATTAACAAATTCACGAGGGAATAAAGAAACACTTTACGTCAAATATATATAGTTATTACGTCACTTATTGTTTTGGTTTTACTTCTGCTTCTTACTGTTATTTTTTGTTATTGTAAATTGAGATCTAGTGCTAGCTGAGACAAGTTTACTTCTAGGCTAATAGTTATCAAAGCCCTGTCTTATTGTATACTTTTGGCTTTTGGATGAAATGAATGTTTTGTTGAATTGTTGAATTGAATTGTAAAGGCAAATTATAATTTAAAAAAATATGTTGGAGATAAAATCACTATCATTAATATAATCATATTAATGGTAAACTGTTGTTGTATTATTCATTAAAGTAAACTATAATACTTGTTTTCGAAGTACAGTATTGTAATATGCCTTGATCCCTTCGCGTGGTCCTAAGATCCGTTCATGATGTCAATTTTGCAATCCCAAGTTTGTGAAACGATAGGCCTATATCATTTTCCGCTGCATTATTATATTATTTAATTAACTATAAATAATTTTTTTAATTGTCTGATTTTAAAAATATTTCTTGAAGGTTTGCATGGCGAGTATCAATAACAGAATCATTAACGTACGTGTTTAGTTTTTAACAATAAAGTAGGACATACGTCTTATCTAAATATAATATGAAACATGCTGATACTTAGGCCTAATAACAATTTAGACATGCTCAGACAGCCAATGTTAAACAACACGGGCACACTTGATAGCTGTTTACTGGCTCATTTTAGCTTTCTTTATGAAAACGCTTCCAAATCCAACCTGTAACAATGTATGTCAAATAAACGGTAATTGGCATAACGTTATTAGCATTGGTGTCACGAGACATCTGGTGCTTAATCAAGACAAATATCAATCTACTCGATTAATTGCAATAATAGTCGACTACCGACCACAGAAATGACAAGCATTCTCTCTGAATATAATTACAAATTCATTTCGGAATTATTCATGCGTGTATATTATGGTGATATATTCTACTGACACTCGTGGCGGAAGATGCAGTGCAATCTGTCGTGTAGGAATTTCACTACAAAATTATATCGTTATGCCAAGCAGATAAACCGGTGTAATGACGTCTCGAAAGTCAAGTAAAACGTAACGATATTTATATCCTCAAAGTCGAACATGACGTAATATGATTGATAAATGAATTATAGTGAATTCTTTCAGCCATTTTATAGACACAATTATGTAAAGAAACACGTATACTCACCGATGAAATTATGTGTCCATTATGAATTCATTTAATACCAATTAGGCATAATCAGTGTTAAGCGCATTGAGACAGAGATGGGAAAGAGATGAATGGAAAGGCGGGGAGTGCAGGAGGGGTGAAGTTCGCATAATGCTCAGAAAGAAACAATGGTAAAACGTCGATAGTGAGGGAAAGGCGAAGCTTAGAAAATTGAAATTATACCTTTAAGCATAGCAGGCTTACTTTCTTGATTGAAGTTTTAAGCATAAATCAAAAATATTAAGAAAAATAGAAAGACAGAAACTATGTATTTTTAACTCACTAAAGACAAACTGAAATCGAATCAATGTGTTCAATTGAAATCTAAAGTTAAATTTACCATTACTTTTCGAAAACTGTTCAGAAATGAGATTTTTGTTAACCCAATGAAATAGAATGATGAATGACAAAAGCTCAGAGCCAGTATACCGACCACATAACAGAAATTTCCAATCACCCATGTACAGTTACAGTTACAGTTTAATCTGAACGAAATCAAATAAGGCTAATCGTTTGGAATCACATACAATGTAGGTTAGGGGTGGTTATTATAATGCCTCCAAATAGCTAAATATTGATGTGTGTGGACTGCCTTTTTTTTTATTGAGGACATTTACAGTTCCTCATGAAAAAGTTGTTTTGGTGCCAGTTATTCCTTCCTTTGCATATCAGAATACCCAAAAGGTATCAGTTAAAATCATGTGGTGAATGATAGTTAAGAACTATTTATATTTTTTTTAAAGATGTTGGTACGTCCATTTGTGAGGAACAAGGTAGTGGGTGGTTAGCAACTTAAATGTAAATAGTCTAGAACCCGATTGTCTATATCAGTTGTTTACGTCTCTCTGTATCATGTACTGTATTCTATGTCTTGCATTTTTCCGTGTTCGTATGATACTCTAGTAAGAAAAATAGTAATAATCCCCTCGCATTTCTTGAACCGTCTATTTGTAGCACTATCCCTTACAATGACCTATATGACATGGTCTTCTTATGGATGACTTTCATAAAACATTAAATAAAAAGCTTACCTGCACGCTGTTGAGTACATCTTTGAAGTCCTGAGCAAACTCCTGAAATCTATCCATACTAGGCGAACATTCAGTTGCAAGCCTCTAATGCTTACTCAAAAAAGACTTTGTTAATATTAGTATTAATATTTCTTCTGGTGTTTTTGATCGATTGAATTTACGAACTGGTTTTACAGAGTCTTATCAATTATTATCGATAACACACAGCAGTTCATGGTTTATGAAAACACATTAATTCATTGACCTCTTAACGCAGCATTCACCTTGTTGCAAAATTTGTAGTCGAATAGCATATACTCTACAATACTCGCTACAATCTATAAATATTCACATTTATGACAGTTCCGCTGGTACATCATATGCGATAGAACACAGAATCACTCAGCCAAAAACGAGAGGCATTAGAATGCTCCGTCGACTTACTTGAGACTGATTGAATAAACGAGATTCTATTGGTTGATGATAATACTTAAAACCTCGATTTAATAAATACGCGAGGAAGTTGGATGCACCGGTAGGCCTACGTGTAGTCCACGGTTACAACTTCACAATAATGGCTTTATTATTGTAATATAGATGATACGTACCAGCAAGAATACTCTAAAGACATGTGATTCGATCCCAGTTACAATACGCTAAAGTAGGCCTATATGATAATCTTATAGTGTTCACACTATAATGTCCACCTTCAACGAACTCACTTCAATCTGCTTAAGTCGCATTCTCCATAATTGCTCAGTTTACATTAACTGCGGAATTGACTGAATGAAGAATGATCGTCTTGTGTAGGTTTCACGTAAATTGAAATATGTTAATTGCCGCTCTGCGTTATATAAAATGACAGATTTAAATTATTCACGCCGGCATTAAAATGACAATGCTGGAAACAGTAAAGCAACGATAATCATTTGATGAGTATCCGATACGTCACAGAATATCTGCACGTGTGTTAAACAGGCCTACACTACTGTTTAATTCTTCAAACTTATGACGACGTGCCTTCGAGCAATGATAATTGGTAAATGTTAACTAGTCTTGGGTAAACATTAACAATTTATCCAGCTCAGGGAGACAGTTATGTAAAAGTGTTCGATTAAAAAAAATGTTTTTAATTTCGGCTCTAGAAATGTGTTCTTGGAGTGATAGGCATTTACAATGAAGGGGTAAGCCTCTCCCCCATATGGTGGGGGAGAGGGGTGTATTTTTGTCTTAATTAAAGTAAGCATGACTTGTGTGAGTTTACATTTACTCATGATCTTGATAAAACAATTTTCTGATACGAGCAAATCGAAAGAACATGATATAGTTATTATGTAGACATAAGGCCAAAAAAAAAAAAAAAAAAAAAAAATTTGGGCTCATTAAAAAAAAAATTGGTTGTAGTAAAAATAATAATTTAAAAAAAAACAAAAACAAAAAAACTACAATGCCGACCCTCAATTTCGAACATTTTGGGTTGGTAGGGCGTGGCCAACACAATTATTTTTTTATTTGGCCTACTAATGGTGCCGCAGTAAAATTTGAAGAGTAGTTGATAGCAGGGGCTAATTTAGGAAGACCGGGACGGCCCCGCCCCCTCCAACTTTTGGAGTAAAAAAAATGATCGCCCAAAACGCCTCAGAGGTTATTGTCGGGCGTCTTGAACACAAAAATTTCGCGCAGTATTATCTCGATTGGCCCCACTTTCGTCCCCGCTTTTGGACATCTGTGGATGCGCTCCTTGATAGACTATGGCATTTGAACTTTTGTAAGGCCTGTTTGTCATATTGTATTTTCATATTGCCCGCACTCATTTTCCGAAAAGAATAATCTGATAAAAACTCTAGGTTTAAAGTTCTGCGCCACGTAAATGAGTACATAAGCGTTTCCTCGTATAGATATATTTGTCTTTGCTCTTTCTTGTTTCTTTCTCTGAATACGGATTATGACCTCAAAAACGCTGCTCATTTTCATATTATCACCGTGAAACATCAATATTCCTTTGAATACGTCATTGTACATAAAAATCAATGATAATTAATATGTCATCAACCGACCAGGGGATACCCCACAGCAACGAATGAATATAAGTTACAACATATAGATATTATACACAGTAAACACTGACAGATGAAAACTGCTATTGTCACAAAGGATAAAACTGAACTGATGGGTTCGATATTGAAGTTTGTCGATGATTAAGTAGGTAATCCAAGAGGCAATATTTACTCCTCCTACTTTGAAATAAGCGTGATCATACGTGCTCACGCAAATGTTAAATCAATTTTAATTTCAAAAATACTATATGATGGCAATTTCAAAAACTAAGGAAAGACTGAACAGTTACAAACTCCAAGAAGGACCTCACTTACATGCACATAACTTTCGAGGCACTCTATCGACCACGTTAATTGAAGTTGTTATTAACAAATGTTTTTGTGCAACAATTATGTAGTAGTTTTCTCTATAATGAATAAGTTTATTCAGATCTGGAAATATCCGGAATTTAACTGTTATTTTAATGTTATCTTTACATTAAAAAAAAAATTCCTGTTTGTTCCAAATTAAGTATTCTTAAGTGCACAGATCGTAAAACGAAGAACAAGACAGGAACCGATCATTTGATGCAAGTTTTAAATATATCTTTATTTTAATGTAACAAAGTAACAATCTAAGATAAACCGGTAAAAAGTTATAATAAAAGATGTTTTTAAAAGAAGATGGTTTTCAATCAAATTAATTAAAATCAGTTATTTTCATTTCATATATTAAATTGCCTCAATACAAAGGTATTGGACTTTTGAGAAAGCAGTAGAACATTACTATACCTAAGCTACGTTTCATTATTGTACTAATACCTGATAACCGCCCAGCATTAATTATATACTTTGCCACACAGTTGGGATCTCTGACAACGACTGAAAAATGTTTCGTTGAAACGCATCATCTAGATGCCAAAACTATTTTTCAATGCTTCGAATTCTGTTGGTGAAAGAAAGTAAACAGATAAAACGGAAATTAATTTATAATTAACTTGTAATAAAATTAAATTAAAATATATAGGACTCTGCTCTATGATATTAACCTTACTTTTTTATCCGTACGGTAGAACTTAAAGTTATTTTATTTCACCATAGTTTTAACTATGTTTTCATAATTGCACACTGGTCTATATTCAAGAAGGAGCTACAGAAACGCTTTGTCAATGTGCTTTGTGCTGATGCAACCAATAAAATATATAAAGGTTATGTAAAATCTAATCAAATGATATCAAAATAATGTTATAATCATGGTATTGATGCTGTTGTAATTAAGCCTATATAGACCTTGATTTATTACTAGTTAGAATTGTTTATAAATAGTATCACTTTTGTAAATAAGCAGTTTCAGGCCTTGGAACTGTTCTTGGAATTGGTATAATATTATACTCAAATAAAAAATAATAATAATAAAAAAAACTCACTGTCACTACAAACTGGCAATGTTCCCTGAGCGAGCGTGCCTGGAAACTTTTTGCCCGTTTCAGTGTCGACGCACCAGCAGTATCGCCAGCTGTTGAAGCATTGAGTGGGTGCGTATGTGCCATCGTGCTCACAATTAGGCCGATAGAAGTGCATGGCTTTCATATCTATCCGTGATAGATAATCATCGATGCGTTTCTTATGTCGCTGGCAGTTAGTCAAACCTTTAAAATAACATCATTATTTCAATATAAATTTGAACTCAAACATATCTAAGGATGTGTTTGTTACCGATGTTTACCGTAGGGCGATTCACTGATCATAGAATACCAGCTATAATCAAGTATACGGCGATGGCGGTTTGCTTAATGGAGATATTTATTGAAAATCAGTACATGCATGTATAGTGTTGGCTTTCTTCTGTTAAATTTATTGTGACTGTCCTAAAAATATTAAAGATGTACCAATAATCAGTTACTCAATCATATATTAAGTTTGAAAAACTTATAATTTAATTTTTAAAAATATATTTGAGAGAGATAGGGCCTACTTATAATTATTTAGTAAACGTACATAGTAGAAAGTTTATTACATTAGTTTGTCTACTAGATAAATGTTCTTTCTACTGTGAGTAAACTTTTTCCTTTCTTGAATAAGACATATTAACTTGGGTAAAAACATTTAAACCTACTACAGTCGGGTTGTTCCATAATAGTTGTTACACTGCCTGGTTTGCTCTGACCGGTTTGACGATCAACACACCAGCACGCCCCCAACGACGCATCACATTGTACCTAAAATAATAAGTTACTTTTTCTCAGTTTGACTGAATGGCTCTTCGCTTTTCATTGATATAAAAATACCTATTCAATAATTTTGTTTCTGGGATCATAGATGTAAACTTATTGGTGAGGAAATTCCGATACACACTAATGCGACAACCTTCTTTATACAGTATGCCAGTATGCCATTATTTCAGTGAATGTATCTTGATTTTGTTTTTTCTTCGTACCTCGGTGTACGTGCCATCGTCATTACAGGTAAGATATGTTGTAGCGCCATCTTCGGTAACTGTTTGAAGTTCCTCCCAACACTTCTCCTGCTTATTTACTGAATTGATACCTGGTTGAATTTCATGGATACCTAGTTGATTCAATCAATAAATCATAAAATTTAACACAACATACAGCATATTTTTGTATTAGTTGTTTTATTAAACAAGCAATTATTAATTTTAATATTATTTACCGTAATAGATAAAAGCCAATTAAATAGGCCTATCTCTCTACTAGGGGCCAATCATTCCCAATAATCGTTCAAAAATTCATTAAAAGGCTTATTTTGCATTGGCTTTGTTGTTGGAATAATTTACGGTTATTAACATTACTTTCAAGAAAACAATTGAAAAAATTGGAACAAATAACGAAAATGATAACTAAATTATAACCAGTAGAAACACTAAATTATAACTGTAGAAACAAATAAAATATTCTGTGAAATAAGTGTGAGGTAATTGTAAACAAAGTAGTAATAATTATTAGCAATAACAATAAAATTAACATAATAATAATGTTATTATTGATAATCTAAAATCAATGTTTGCCGCCCTCTGTTGACTAGTAAGTTTTGTCTAGCAACAGGTAACATGCAGAGGTTCCACTGTATTTCTCTACACTTTTAGAATAATTCGCACTGTTGTGGAGACATTAAAAAACCCAGATAACGATCTCTACATTGTGTCGTCTCAGTTATATTCTTGAATAAAAGATTTCAGACATTAAACTGTTAGTAAAATAAGTTTATTACTTTGGCGTAGACACTCACAATGGCACGAAAGCATGGGTTATTCTAGGTTTGGACTTACAACTAGTCCTACTAATAAAGAAATTTATTATTTCCATACAATTTAAATATATGGCGGTTGGTTTGGACATAACATACTACGACAAGCACTAACATGGAACCCACAAGGAAAGAGACACAGAGGCCGGCCAAAAAACACCTGGAGAAGGGAAGTGGAGAATGAAATGAAGAAGGAAGGATACACTTGGAAAGAGATAGAAGCATTGGCCCAAAATCGTATTAGATGGAGATCCGTAGTTGATGGCCTATGCTATGCTCTTGACAAGAGTGACAAGGCATAAGTAAGTAAAGTAAGTATACAATTTAAATATATAAATATACAGTGATAAACAATATATATAAATATACAGTGATAAACAATATTATATAAATATTAAAGTCAACTTTATTCTAAAATTGCAGACTTTATTAAAAACGAAAAAAAAAGTTTGATGTTTGATGAGTAATTAATAGTAAATGTATAATAATTATTGACAGAAAATCTTATATTGTATAATAAC